AAAGTTTCTGTAAATTAGTTATAAAACCAACTATAGTTTAAGGAACTAAGTGGTAAGAAAGCTTAATCACTAGATGACTTAACTGAAGTTCCCACTTTATTTTCTGGGTTTTCATTCACCTGCCCTTACTTATTTACTATTCATTTTTCAACTGGAAATCGAAATTCAGTTTCTACCATTAACAGTTAATCTTTACCAATGAATACAATAGTGAACGCTGGAAGAATAAAAGACAGATAGCTGTGCACTCAAAAATCGGACGTCTCAACAATTTCATCAAGTGAAGGTCCCAATCCAGGTTACTTCATTTGCATTTCTCTGACTAATTACAATCTCCATGTGGTTTCTTTACTTTTTAAGATGTAATACCCCAAAATTTTGTGATATTTAGCATTAAGTTAGGGACTTGATTGTGAGAAAAGATTGCTTTGGGGCCTAATGTGAATATTCTGAAAGCTGAGGGACTTAAAAGTGGAAGAGATTTGGATAAGGATGGCTTCTTTTCTTTTTCTCTTTTTCCTTCTTTCTTTCTTCTCCAGCCCGCATGTTCTGCTCTTCCCGACCCCCCTGCACCCGAGAGAAAAAAAAAAAAAGGGGAACCCAGCCATGCTTGAGAAACCGGTGAGAAGCTTGGGTTTTTCCTTCTTTTTGGTTCAAGGACAAGATTTAGGAGCTTAGAATTCTCTTCCCCCTGCAGGAGTTCCCGGATCTGCTCTGTTCTTCCTTCCCTGTCCGCCGGCTGCTCTTGCTTGTGGGTGTGATTTTCAGTCTTTCTTGGTAAGAAATAGCTCGAATTCTCCCTTCTTTAGCTTTGATTTAAGTTGGGCTCCTTTAATTTTGGGTTAAACCGTGAGTCCCCTGCAGAATTTTCCTTCCATGCCGCCGGCTCTTCCCCAAATTGCAGCTCCGGCCTTGCTTGCTGGATTCTGGTATGTGGCAGCCTTAAACCATTGTTTTTAAGCTTGATTAAGGTAGAATTAGCTTGATTAGTTTGCTGCCGTGTGATGTCCGAATTTGACAGAAAATTGGGGAAAATTCCAGTAGCTTTAGGACCATGATTTAGCTTAATTCAAGTGGGATTTATGTGATTGAGTGTTAATTGATTGTTGTGATTTTTGGAGAGAAAAATCCCGTGAATTAGCTAGTGGTTTGGCCAATTTTGGAAGTTGGAATTACTGTTCACGTCGGGTTACTGTTCACGAGTACTGTTCACGGCGATGTCACATGTTACTGTTCACACCCCGAGGGCCAACAATTAACGGGGATTTAAATGATTAGTTTGTGATATAAGAATGAATTTGGAGATATTTGATCATGTGGAAATTGATAGAAATAGTATTGTGATTAAGAGTGATCGTAATGATGATTTCAGCTTGAATTTGTGATAGTCCGGTATTAATTCTGAGGTATTTTGATTAGGTTCCCGATCGTTCTGTCAGTTAGCATCGAGATTTAGTGCTCGGTTTTATGCGAGTGAGGTAAGTAAAGTTATGGTAATGCCCGTACAGTTTTTAAAAGCGTGTTTTGATTTGTTTTTGAAGTGGTGGCGGGACTAAACCCGTTTTACACGAGCATGACTGATTTGAAGTGAAATGTTTTATGTTTTTCATTAAATTGAGCATGCCTACTTGAAATTTAAGTGATTGCCCTGATGATTTGAAAGTGATTGGTGAATTGTGATTTTCCTGATAACTTCTGCCTGTTTTGTCTCCGATGTGGTCATGTTATTCGTGACCTTGCTAGTGGGGGAGGTTATAAACACTAGCACATGTCGGCACATGTCGATATGTTATTCGTGACCCTGCTAGTGGAGGAGGTTATAAACGCTAGCACATGTCGACATGTAGTGATAGAGCTGGTTCGTTCAACCTAGCTAGTGGGGGTTATACACCAGCAAATCGTGGCCCTGCTAGTGGGGATTATACACTGGCCGTGACCTATAGAGGAGACGTCTATTTCGTTCCCGTATTGTATCCGTTTTTCGTGATTGTACTTGTTGGCATGCTATAAGTTTAAGTAAGGGGCACTCCATATTTACTTACTGAGTTTATCTCATAGTTTTTCCTTGTCCACCATTTGAGGAAGTGAAACCGAGGACGGGGAAATAACGGGAAGTGACGAGTTAAAAGGCTAGCCATTTTGTGAATTGAATATAGACTCTAGAGATGAATCATGATCTTGTATTTGGAGATTTTATGATATCAGAGTAAATTTTAAAGATTTGATCTTCAGATTTTGATGGTATCAGAGTGTGATATGATAAGTTCCGAGCCTTGTGCACTTGTGGGATCCGTCTCACGAGTGTACGGCGTCTGTCACGCCTCGAATTTGGGTTTTGGGGCGTGACATAAGATAAGAACAATGATATGACAAAAGTTATATTTTCCTGCATTGTAGATCTATTATGTTGGTGATGCTGTGGGGAGACTAAATGATCAGTGAT